GGGAGTGGAAGGGTGAGTTGTTTCTTAGGTGCTTATGCAACGCCTACGAGGAAATGCAGAGTCGGCAGTTGGATACACTTGCCCAAAGCTCAGAAGAAAGGTCTGATCTGGAGATGAAAGAAAAAATCCCTCAAGACAACTACAATTTTGGCACATTTTCTCCTTTTTCCTTAGTTTCAAAATAGTTGTTTTACACTGACAAGTCTGCTCTTAACTAAACAGCAGAACATACATACTTTTGCTTTAACTCCCTAAACAATTTCACATTAAATTACTTTAAAACAGGCCGTTCTCCTTGGGAGAAGGCCCGTAGGCAGCAGCCATGGTGCCCAGCCGAAATGGCATGATCCTAAAGCCCCACTTCCACAAGGACCGGCAGCGGCACGTTGCCACGTGGTTTAACCAGTCCGCAGACGCAAGGCCAGGCAAGCCAAAGCAAGCCAAAGCGCCGCATCCCCCTCTGACCCATCCGACCCATAGTGAGATGCCCCACCGCCAGGAACCACCCTTCAGCTTGGAAGGGTTAAGGGCGGCTGGCAGCCACAAAAAGGTGGCCTGGACCACTGGGATCTCGGTGGGTCCCTGCAGGCCAACGTGTGGCTGACGGAGTACCGCTCCAAGCCCATCCTCTTCCCCAGGAAGCCTTCGGCCCCCAAGAAGGGAGACAGTTCTGCTGAAGAACTCAAATTGGCCACCCAGCTGAGCGGACCAGTCATGCCCATCCGGAATGTCTACAAGAAGGAGAAAGCCAGGGTCATCACAGAGGAGGAGGAGAACTTCAAGGCTTTTGCCAGTCTTCGCCTGGCCCGTGCCAATGCCCGGCTTTGGCATCAGGGCAAAAAGAGCCAAAGAAGCTGCAGAACAGGATGTTGAAAAGAAAAAATAAAGTGCCGTTGGCAACCAAAACTGTGGTACATCTACACAATGGAATACTATGCTGCTGTAAAAAAGAAGGAACTCTTACCATTTGCAACAGCATGGATGGAGCTGGAGAGCATTATGCTAAGTGAAATAAGCCAGTCAATGAAAGAAAAATACCACATGACCTCATTCATTTATGGATAATAAAGAGCATTATAAACTGATGAACAAAAATAGATACAGAGGCAGAGCAGCATCGAACAGACTGTCAAACTACAGCAGGAAGGCTGGGGAGGGTTGGGGGGTGAGGGGGGGGTAAGAGATCAAACGAAGGACTTGTATGCATGCATATAAGCATAACCAATGGACACAAGACACTGGGGGTTAGGGGAGGCCGGGGGAATGTCAAGGGGGAAAGAAAAAAGGAGACATATGTAATACTTTAAGCAATAAAACAAAATTTAAAAAAATTACTTTAAAACATAAAGCAAGTGGAGTAATGATACTTCAATTTTTCTCATAAACGGAACTTCAGAAAATAAATATGGTCGCTCTTTTAAATTTTATTTATTGATTTTAGAGAGAAGGAGGGAGAAAGAGAAATCAGTTTGTTGTTGCACTTATTTATGCCTTCATTGATTAAATCTTGCATGTGTCTTGACCAGGGATAGAACCCTCAACCTTGCTGTGTGGGGACGCCTCTCGAACCAACTGAGCTACTCGGCCAGGGCTAAGTGTGGTCACTCTTAACTGAACTAGCTGAAGGTCACATACCTGGCCACTTCCTTATTTTAAAGTTCACCCAACTGGCAGTCCACAGACTGTACTGGTACATGAATGTTTAGATGGGGCCAACAGTGTTTTGTTTTTGTTTTTTAATTTGAATTAATTTCTGGCTAACTTCACATAAAAGCCTAAATTTCTAGTTTTTCTCTTTATTTTTTAAAGAGATTTTTATTGATTTCAGAGAGGAAGGGAGAGGGAGAGAGATAGAAACGTCAATGATGAGAGAGAATCATTGATCAGATGCCTCCTGCACACCCCACACTGGGGATTGAGCCCACAACCTAGGCATATGCCCTGATTGGCAACCAAACCCTGACCTCCTGGTTCATAGGTTGAAGCTCAACCACTGAGCCACGCCAGCTGGGCTATAGCTTTTCTTTCAAAAACAAAAACATAACACCACAAGACCCAGCACGTCTAGGCCACATTCCAATGCAGCCACAACCCGCTGGAACAGAGACGCAGCAGCCACAGGAGAAGGAAGGAGCTGGCCATTCTCTCTGCTATCTCACACAGCCAGCTCAATTAAAAAGTATCTGCGTAGCTTCGAATAGCATCCATGGTTGTGACCTCAGTAAGCAAAAGTACCTTTAGGCATCCATGATCAGTTCCTCACTAACACAGGAACACAACAAGAATAATACCACCTACCATTTACTGACTGCCTACTATTCATGGTAGGAGACACTACCAAGGAAGCTTAATATTTAATTTCTTGGATCATTGTATATAGAGAGCAATTCACAAAATGAATAGGGTCAAATTCTCTTAGACAACAAAAATATGACAGCTTAAGCATATGAGGATAGAATTACAAAAAGCCTGAAAGAAAATGCAAACACAGAAGTCTGGGGTCCTGGCAATCAGGGCTGGCCTCTTGAACAGGCACCGAGGGCTGCTCAGCCAGGATAAGTGGCCGAATGCAAAGAGCACGGATGCCAGGTTCAAAGTCGGCCTCCTCCTCTTATGTAACCCAAGTTCTGTTTTTCAAATTTATAAACCAGGGATAACAGCATTTTTCTCAAGGGGCCGCTATGAGGAGCCAATGAATGAAAACCATCTACTGCCCGGCCGGCGTGGCTCAGTGGTTGAATGTTGCCCCAAGGACCAAGAGGTTGCAGGTTCGATTCCCGGTCAGGGCACATGCCCGGGTTGCGGGTTCAACCCCCTGTGTGGGGCGTGCAGGAGGCAGCCCATCAATGATTCTCTCTCATCATTGATGTTAAAAAACAAACAAACAAACAAAAAACCATCTACTATTTAGCATTTAAAATTGATTCTGTAGGACACCTCATTTTCCCCACGTGAGCCCAGAGCAGTTGTCACTGGACTGGTGGTCCCAGCCTTTCTGTACACAGAGCAATCGCATATGCATACTAGAATTCTGGTGGCATACTTAAGAGGGACGCAAGATTTAACACAACACGGAGTGTGTCAACAGCATCTACCCCAGGGCCACTCTCCCAGCTCTCTTCCTATCTTCACTCCGAGTTGCCCTGGGTGAGCTGTGGGCTGTCCTGACCGAGCTCCTCCATGCTCACAAGGCCAAGATGCTGGGCTTGACCTCATACTGCTGCAGCGGCACACTGCAACCTTTTCTAACTCTGCACAGACACAGCACACTCAGAAGACCCCCATCTGTAGCAAACATTAATTTTACGTACTGATCAGTTTTGGAGACATGCCAAGGAGGCATTTGAGGTTTACCAGGATGGACCAGCTAACAGTCAGTGGGCTTGAGATGAGGCATAGCAGTGATAATTTAATTTCCCAAAACTTTTCAGATATTTTTTTGGGGGGGGGCTAAAATTCACAACGCAGTGTGTGCAGTGGAGCCGCAGGCACTGCACCTAAGGCCAGTGTGATCAGGTGGATCCCGATCTATGGGCAGTGCTTCTGGAGTGTTTTTACAAAGAGATATCTGATTTATCTACTTACAAACATCACTACATTGCTAAGGTATTCTCTAAAAGTTACTACTCAAAAAACAAAGTAATACCATGTTACTACGAAGGCAGCGCTTTGAAGCGAAGTTGAATATATGTTGTATTAGTTTCCTAGGGCTGCTGTAACGAATACCCCCAGACTGGGTTGCTTTAAAACAACAGAAAGTTAGGCTCTCACAGTTCTGGAGGCTAGAAGTCCAAAATCAAAGTGTAGGCATGGCCGCTTCTACTCCTTTATCCCTCTCCCTTCCTCTCTCTCTGAAATAAATAAAAACACTTAAAAAAAATTAAGATCAGGAGTTCTGAATTTGGGAGTCATAAGCTTGAGGGACAGGGCCTTTAGATAAGCTTCAGCAGGATTAAAAAGCCCTAGAAATTCCAAGGAAGTTTCGTCTAAGCAGTTACCTGCACTTTTCTGGGGGAAAGGTTCTATAACTTTTAGCATATTCTCAAAGGGAGTCAAGATTCACCTAACTGATTAAAAGAAGAAGAAGAAAAACTCACCTAACTCCCTGCGGCTGAAAACCATTTCGATCAAGATAATTTTTATTTACAAACCCAAAGTATGGCCATGCTTTTTAGCAGATTCTGTATTCCTTAAACTCTACGTTCACAAATAGAACGTGTTTAAGACAAGTTTTCTACAATCCCACAACTTCTTACACAACTGCGTATTATGAAAATCACGTACAAGGCTTAGGGTCATAATTAAGTTTCCTATTGTCCAGATAGATTAACCTGCCGAGCCGCCTGGAGGCACCTTTTAGCCTTCCATAACTTTGAGTTGTGAGTTACGAAGCAAGGTCCCAGGGATCATTCTAGGACGAGCAGAAACCTCTTCCCTAGACAGACATGACAGGAGCGACGGACAAGACAGGTTCTCGCATTAGAGACATAGTTTTAAGTTCTCGGTCCTATATTTCAGGCGAAACTTGAAAATCCCTCCTCCACTTGGATCAGTCCAGAGAGCGCCCTGAGCCGAACCCGGAAACTGCGACTAAGATTCCGGGTACCTTCTAACCGCCAGGCACAAGGGGATGGAAAAGCGAGGGCCGCGGACAAGTCAAGCCGGGGGTAAAAGCTGCAGGAAGAAGAGCAGGCTGCTGTCAGCGGGGACCTCGGGACGCCAACGGGGGTTGCAAGCGCGGCCTTCCGGGTCCGCAGAGTCTCGCCGCAGTTCCGCCCCTTCCCCGGTCCGCCAGCGTCTCCCTGCCCCTCCCAGACGGCGCGAGGACCCGCGCCATTCCCCAGCTCCCAACAGACCTCCCCACAGAGAGGCCGCGCCGGTGGGTAAGCGGGGGGGGGGGCAATTGCTCAGAGCCTCCCCCCCCGCCAAAGTTGCCTCCAGCCGGGGGGAGCGGCCTCTGCCTCCGCCCCCCGGCCCGGCCCAGCCCCGCCCGGCCTTACCTTCAGCGCCAGGTGGTGGACGCGGCCCAGGCCGGGCTCCACCAGCAGCTGCAGCAGCCCCAGTAGCGGAAGCCACCGGAGGCCCGCGACGAGCCGAGGACAGCGGGAGCCCGAGGGGCCGAGGGGCGCCGGGGCAGCCATGTTTGTTCCAGCATCACCAGCTGCTTCCGCTCCCTCCGAGCACTTCCGGGGTTAAAGGGCAGCGGCCGCCGGAAGGGCCTGGAAGTAGGGGGCGGGGCGCGGCGGCCTCCGGCGCGGTGCCGGTGGCTCTCCTGCTGGAATGCGGGGCCGGGTCAGGCGCCCGGGGGCCGTTCAGTCGGCTTTCCCGGTGCGGATTTCGGTTTAGCTAGAAGAGGTGGGACCTCCAGGAGGACCCAGGGCGGTTGTCATGGGAACAACCGGACCGCACCTACCTCCCGCCGAGCTTTGAAAGCGACCTGGACCTGCGAGCCCCGGACCGCGGGGGAACCCGGCTCTCCGAGGGTGGGGATCTCTTAAAGCGGCCGAGGCACCTTGCCTGGTGGTTCATTGGACTGATTTCACAGGCGGCATTGACTCGGGGGGAAATGCCAAGTTCCTGGCTTGTTAGAAGTCCCTTGATTGTTATTTTTTGGAGGCACTTCACACTCAAATTTCAAACGAAATGGTTGCAGTAATACGATTTATTAAGAAGCCCTTATCAGGTACTTGGTTAGGCCTTTTGTAGGCATTATTGCATTTAATCCTCCGAACAGTCTAATGAGGTAGGCGGTAGGTGTTATCCCCACTTTACAGGTAAGCAAACTGAGCCTCTGAAAAATGAAGTCATTTGCCCCAGGTTGGCTGAGAACCACACGGCAACCTTTAACTACTATTTTATGTTGCTTCATGCTGTTTCATCCGACCACTAGAGTCAGTGTCAACATTTTTCTCTTAATTCTGTGTGCAAACTTTCTTTGCTTTTAACCTGTGGAATTTATGGAGAGATCCTTTTTCTTTTTATCCTCATCCTAGATGTTTACTAATTTTAGAGAGAGGAGAATGGGGGTGGGATGGGGGATGGAAGAGAAATATCATGTGAGAGAGAAACCCAGGACCTGGGAATGTGCTCTGACCAGGAATAGAATCTGTATCCTTTCTTGTACAGGAGGAGGCTCCAACCCACCCAGCCACCCGGCCAGTGGAAGGAATGGAAAGATTCAGTAGTTGGTTCCCTCCTCTCACCATTTTTATTAAGTAGGTATATAGAAGAACATGCTTATTAAAGTTGCTAATAGACTAGCCAACTTTGTTTAGTTTTTAGATTTTTTTTTCAGCTTGCCACACAAGTAATGCTTGCTCTTTGTGTGAAGTCATTTAAGCTAAAGAGGAGAAAATAAAAACCACCCAGAATCCCAGTACTGGGTGACTGTCAGTGTATTAGTGTGTTTTATGATAGAATCAGATTCTTAAAAATTTTTAACTGGAAATAGGAACTGAAATTAACATATGTTTTAATGGAGCTAAAGTGCTGCACTCAAGTAAAAAAAAAAAAAATACCAGTTGGGAAAATACAGAATAGGTAGGGGTGGAGGGCGAGAGAAAGGAAGGAACCTAAATCTTTTAGCTGTGTGCAGTCTTTTTTAAAAAAATATATTTTATTGATTTTTTACAGAGAGGAAGGGAGAGGGACAGAGATTTAGAAACATCAATGGGAGAGAAACATCAGCCGCCTCCTGCACACCCCTTACTGGAGATGTGCCCACAACCAAGGTACATACCCTTGACCAGAATCGAACCTGGGACCTTTCGGTCCACAGGCTGACGCTCTATCCACTGAGCCAAACCGGTTAGGGCTACCTGTGTGCAATCTTAGTAAAGTCGTGAATCTATGAATTCTTCCCTTGAGTAAAAAACAACAACACGGTAATGTACAAGTCCTGTCACACCCTCTGCCAGGACAAAAGTAGGGCACGAATGTGGCTCCAGGAAGATAGAAACGCAATGTTTACTAGGTGGTAGGTGGTGAAGAGTATCCGTTCTTTCTCCAACCTCTGGTCTTTGACCATATATTACTAATATGTAATCTTTCATCTTTGAACAGAATTTTCATCTGACCTTACTACCCCATTTTACAGACAAACTTATTTTGTGAATCCACACAGCAAGATAATCATAGTTAAATATATTTATTGAGTGATTAAGGTTACCAAGTATTCTGCTGGTACTTTATATATACACTAGAGGCCCGGTGCACGAAATTTGTGCACGGGTGGGGGGGCGGGGTTCCTCCGCCCAGCCTGTGTCCTCTCGCAATCCGGGACCCCTCAAGGGATGTCGGGCCTAAACCGGCAGTCGGATATCCCTCTCACAATCCGGGACGCTGCATGCACCAGTGACCATACTTTTCATACAGGTGAAAGGCATCTTGCTGTTGTGTGGGCAGCTACATTTTTTTGCCCTGATTATAAAAAGTAGTACATAATATGACCCTTCTGAGGCAGTAGTACCATTTTCCCCATCTTATGGGTGAAAAAAACTGAAGCAGAGAGAAGTTAAGTAATTGGCTTTGTCACACAGTTATAAGTGTCAGAATCAGGGCTGACCACAAAATGTGCAAGCCAGAGTCCATGCATGTCATCGCTGTATCATCCTGTTTTTTTCAGTGTTAGAGTAGCCTTGCCAGGTTTTAATTTTTAAATCTAAGAGACTATTCCCAATATATAAGGTAGGGTCCCTAGGCCTGGCCGGCAATCGGGGCCATCTGTGGGGCGACCGGCAGGTGGGGCGATGGGCCCCCCTCCCGCCCCCCCCCCCCCCGCTGGCACCCACCTTGGCTGGCGACCTGATTGCCCCCAACTGCCCTCCCTTGCTGTGACCCGCCTCCTCTGCTGGGACCTGCCTCCTCCACGCCAGGCAGTGGAGATGCCGGAACCAGCCTACCCCGTCAGTGCAGAGCCTCGGGACCTCCAGGCCTCACCACGCAGAGCGGCCACCAGGCCCCCGCCTCCGCTGTACACACAGCCATCTTGTGGCAGCGTCACTCAAGGGTGTGACGCCACCTAGGCTTTTAATATATAAAATAGGATTGTGTGGTTTAACATCACAAAAACCTTGTAAGATACTTCTTTTTAAAAGATGAGACTTGGTTAGATTCATTAATTCAAGGGTGTGTTGCTGATTTTTATCAATGACCCAGATAGAACTCTCATTCAGGACCCGCCCACAAAGCCCAGTACTTAATCTGTCCTGCATTGTTGCAGAAAAATCATTTGCATATTAGGCTGGAAGGGTCCCTAGACAACCAACAGATCCTTCTACCTTGTTCAACAGCTATGAAAGCAAATCCGAGGGACTTCAATGACTGGCTCAAGACCACACATGCAGTGGCGTAAATTTTTTTAATATATCTTTATTGATTTCAGAGAAGGAGGGAGAGAGAGATAGAAACATAATGATGAGAGAGAATCATTGATTGGCTGCCTCCTGCACGCCCCCCACTGGGGATCGAACCCGGGACCCTTTAGTCCGCAGGCCAACACTCTATCCACTGAGCCAAACAGGCCAGGGCATAGTGGCATAATTTTTGGCAGGCACCTTTAGCAACCAGGACTGGAGCCTCAGCTGCTTCAGAGTTGGACCTGTGCTTCTCACACTATACCATGGCTTTCTAGTTCTTATCATTTTAATTTTTTCAAAAAGTTAAAAGCCCAGAATCTGAGTAACTAATGTGTTAGCAAATGAAATTGTAGAGAAATTTTCCAGAAAGCATTTTAAAAATCAGCAGTTTGAAAGAACATGCTAGGAATGTGATCCTTTCTTTTATGTATCAGGAGAAATACCAAAGACAGTTAACTGGTTCTCACTTCAGGATGAAACTGGTTGTTAAAGGGAAAGGTGGTTTTTAAGTGCAGTTTCATTTTTAAAGGCAGTTTGAAATGCTTTGAAATATTGTTTACTTTTTAAGTGAAGTACCATTTTTGAGAATCCCTTGTTTTAAATTTGAATGTAATAATAGGCTTTTAAAAACGGAATGACCAGGAATAGTCTTAATTTCATTTAATAATATAATAGTGATCAAACACTTAAATAGTTTATAAAATAGAAGACTTCTGTCTTTTAGTTTCTGGAAAACAAATTTTAAGGGCTTAAAGCTGGTTCTTATTCCTTGCTTCTTTTCACTTAGAAATCATTATGTGAGTTTTACAAAGTTACATACCAGTGATATCTGCGAGGTTTAGGAGGTATAGCTTCTCAGGGACTTGGTTGTGCCGGTCATTAGTTTGAAATTGAGAGAAATCAAAACGGGAACACTAATTATACAGAGACTTAAAATGACGTACTTTATAGACTGCTGGGGTCCAACCACAGCAGGTCCAGGGGTCCCCAAAGGTGTGGACGGAGTCGGCGAAGAAGGAATGACATGGAGACAGCCTTCAGTTGATCAGCAGCCTAGTCAGGACCTCCAGCCAAAGTTCTGGTCGGGATCTCCAGTCAAGTTCTGGTCAGGATCTGATGTTTATTTTCTTGTTATATCTGTATTTATACCAGTCGATTTTAATCCTGTCAATTTCTATTGCAAAGGTTAGGGCGTTTCTTATCTCCATTCCAGGGAGTAAAGATTATGTAGCTTAAGCGTGATTGTTTGTAGTTAAAGTGATTAACTACCCGCCTGGTACTTAGTTAGGGGGTCGTATCCCCTCCCTAACCTCAGGGAAAAATCCCCACCTGGGGAAACAACCTTTCTCGGAGAGGTGACCTTGGTTAAAACACATGGCGCTAAGGAGAGCAAACATATTAAGAACAATATGCTATATATGCCAGGTCCCTTGAAACATATGCTTTGCATATGTTTCTTTCCTGCAGCGACTGTGTCAAGCAGCAAGGATGGACCGGCTTCCGGCAATAGACAGTTTTCAAATTCTGTGAAAACTGCTATGTTGGTAATTCTGTTTAGATGCATGATCTGTTTCAAGAAAAGATTATTTGCATACTTATGATACTGTACCTGGAAACAGACATGTTGAGTAACAGAACAAGTTATGCCTGCTTGTCCTTGGCAACATTTTCAAAGGGGCTTTAAACTGTAAGGTACTGGCTAAAAAGGCCTGGAGGGGCTGGAAAAACTGTTCTCCTAAACCTGGCTTTCAGCCTTGTTCTCTTTAGTCAAGTGCATTTATTTTTTTGCTATTTCCTCTAACTTTGCAGGATCCACCAAAGGTTGCCACTAGTAGCAGAATTTGTAGTTTGGACCTAATGTGATTAATAATATTTGGCATATTTTAAGTAATTAATGGGTTAATATTCTCCAGTTGTAATAAGGTATAATTGCTATTTGTTTTCTTATCAAAAGAGTTGATATTTCAAACCCAAACCTCTATAAAGACAGTATAGGAGACTAGAGATCAAATTGGAGCCTGGCAATACATTTATTTTTATTTATTTAATTTAAAATATACATTTTTATTGATTTTAGAAGGAGAGAGGAAGGGAGGAAGGAGAGAGGAACACTTATCAGTTGATCGGTTGCCTCCTGTATGCACCCCAACGCCCCAACGGGGGCTCAAACCTGCAACCCGGGTATGTGCTCTGACTGGAAACAAACTGGTGACCTTTTGATTCATGGGACGTCGCTCAACCGAGCCACACCAGCCAGGCCCTGGCAAAACATTTAGAAGTCAAATGTCACTTTCATTCTTTGACTAGAAATGTCATTTCTGGCAGCCTGGGGGAAGCCCATGGCATTTTCTTGCAGAGAGTGAGCTTCATGGAAAGGCTCGGCCCTGACACATCTCCAATCCTGGGGGTTGGGGAAAAAGTTAAATTGACTTCCCCTATTCTGTAACTTGTTCAGCCACGGGACAGCTGGGTTTTCCTGATCTTGTGCACATCTTCATAGACCTTCAGGGGAAGTCCATTATCAGGCGCAAAAATTGGTTGCAGTTTTAAAATTCTCCTCCACAGAGTTCCTACTTTTATCCCACTCCAACTTTTTCCACTTGACGGCTTTCTTGGGTCCTTAGTAAGTAGTTTGAATGCTGAACAAATGGGAAATTTTAAGCTGAAACTGATGGAAGCTATTTGAAAAAAAAAAATCCTGAGAATTTCAATAGGAATAATACTTCACCAATAGACAACGATCAATTGTAGTTTAATCAAGCTGTCTTGCTGCATCAAAGGTGCTTAAAGGACTGATTTCCTTGATGCCATAGTAAAAATCCTCCAGAAAACAAGAGGAAGGGAAAGGGAACCAATACGTATGCCCTCTGTGCTAAGCATTTTGCATGGGTTTTTTTTTCTTTTCGTTTTTGCAGTAACCTTTGAAGTAAGTAGTAGTATTTCCATTTTATAGAGGGAACTGAAGATTAAAGCAGAAAAATAATTCAACCAAAGCTCTACATAGCTATCTAAATCTAGCTAACACCAAAGCCTGTGTCCCCACCAGCTCCCTCATTTCAGCCTCATAACAGTCTATGAGGTCCCCGTTTTATGAACAAGGAAACTGAGGCGCACGCAGAGGGTTTAGGTAACTTTCGGAAGGGAACACACCTAAAAAGTAGTAGAACACTAAGATCCCAGTTTAACAATTACAAAACCTGCCTGTGACAGCCCCTGAATTGGGTGTTTATTAATTGCAAGCACCATTACAATGGCCAAAAAAGCCCTAATAGATTTGTTTGCCTCTAACACAGTGGTTCTCAACCTTGGCTGCGCATTAGAATCACCTGGGAATCTTTTTAAAATCCTGATTTCTAGGCCTCATCCTCCGGAAATTCTGTTTCTTTGTTATGGGGTGGGGCCACTACATTAGTAACAAAGAAACAGAATTTCCGGAGGATGAGGCCCAGACATCAGGATTTTAAAAAGATTCCCAGGTGATTCTAATGTGCAGCCAAGGTTGAGAACTACTGCTCTAGCACCGGAGCAGCCTATCCAGACACCTTCTTCCAGTGCCAATCATGTCCAGGTGACGGGATTATTCCGTGGAAATTTCCGTCGTCTCCCACCAAGATCGTAACCTTGTGAATCAGTGCTTGGTAGATGTTACTGACGTGAAGCAGGGGTACACAGCCCAGCCTGACCCCTGGTCACCCCAGCATTTACGTGGACAGGGTTTAGAATCCCTCTTGTGAAAACCGATTCCTAAGCAGGTCAGGTCACAGTAATTTCTCAATCGTGGTTATTCCTTGTCTTGGAATCACTCCCTCTTATTAGGAAAAGTGAATAGATCCAGTTCTTCCTAAGTAGTACTGTGCTGTATTTATCGTTTTCTCCGCTGGCTTATTTCTCTTAATCCCAAGCCCGGTTTGTTTCCATTGTTTCAAGATCAGTGGTGTCTTTCTCCTTTATTTTTTAAAGATTCTGACTATTCAAATCTTTTCGAGTTGCCACCCAAACTTAATGAAGTTAGATGTTTGCAATGTGGTATAATTAGCCCAGTTCCATATGTCTGCTGCTGTGGCTTTTAATGGGTTTCTGTAAGTACTTCCTGCTTACTCATCTTAAAAGGTTTTCGTCTTAATGTGGTCTCTCTTTCACTTCTGCTGGCCATTCCTCCTTTTCTTTTTCTTCTTTAGATCAGCAGGTTGTTTTCCTCCTGATTAGCAAATTTTACAAGTGGTCACTGTTTCTGAAGTCTCCAAGAACTCAGTTGAGAGATTGGATCATTGTATTAGGTCATAGACAGCCTGCTTTTTTCACTTAACAGTTTCCAGATAGCAAACTAAACTCTGCAGGGTTTTGAATTTCTAACCCCTCCAACTCACCCTCACTGTTAATCCGCTTGGGAGGTAGGTGGCTGGCCGTTCTGATTATTTTATATCTCGCAGTCTCTGGAGTAAAGAGTTCCCAGACCTGGTAACAGTGAGAGCAAAACATTTAAACACGCACAGTGAAAAAAAACACGAGGGGGTTGGAGGAAACTTACAAAAGACAGACGCAAACAGTTTTGACAGATTACATGTATTCTCTGTCCAACCAAGGAAGTAGGCCCGGAGGTTTATCTACAAGTTTTTCAGCTCCACCCTTTCATGGTAGAGAATGACAAACTGGTTGCAGGAGGGGGGCGGGGGGAGGTAGGTATCCGGAAGATGCCTCGTGAAATATTTCTAGAATGGGACGCATTTTAGGAGTCCAGAGTTACCCAGGAAAGTCAGAGCGTTAAGTGAGGTAGAGAGGGCCTAGTGATTCGGGGGAAAGAGCTGGAGCTCCAGTAATTCTCCGCAGCTTGTCGAGAATGTTTGTGTAGGTCTTTGGGATACAGGGAGAAGGAGTCAGTGTCTACTTAAGAACGAGCTCGCCGTTTACCAGCACAGGCCTGGGACTAGGTGCTAATCTTGGTCCTCGCCTTCACCCGCGGAGACGGTGCGCTACCTCCGTTTGGCAGGCGGGGGCTCTGCGCGGCTGGAGAGGTGGAGCCCTGGTCCCCGGCCCCCCAGCCAGTGCGTGCGGGAAGCTGGGTTGGAACCAAACACTTGTCTGTGGACCCAGGGCCTCTGTTTTTACCCACGAAGCTGCAACGCGATTTCACGTCTCAGCGTTTCTTGGCTGAACTGGTTGGAAACCACTGGTTTCAGATTAGAAATCACTGGTTGTGCGCCCCTGGATTACCGCCCCAGCCACTCGAAGCTACTCGGTCGCTCTCGACTCGACGTCCCTATCTGCACTGCGCGCAGACATCACTGTGCCGGACCCCACGGCGCAGGGCTCCTAGGCTCCCCGGCTCCGCGCTGCCCGGGCGGTGCGGGAAGCGCATCCCGGGCGAACCCAGGTCGGCGTGCATGGCTGCCGGGGGGAAAAGCACCGGCAAGTGCGAAGCGGAGCTCCGCGCAGAGGAGCAGCCTGAGGCCCCGCAGGGCACCGTCAGTTAACAGGGGCCGCTCTGTCCGAAGACCTGTGGCCCCAGAGCGGAGCGCGGTGGCTCATAAGTAATTTTTAAAAATCGGCGGGGACACTCCTTCCGCGTCCTTCCGGACCCCAAGGCTCTTGGTTACTCCCGCGGGGTTCATGGTGTAAGTTGACCAAGGCGCATACGCGAAATTTCAGGAAGGCCCCTTCTCTCGCCCATGGGCGGCGGACCGGGGGTCATACCTGAGCCGGCCTTTCGCCGGCCGTCCCTTTCCTTCCCTCACTCCCGGGTGTGGGGCGGTCGGGCGCTGCGGCTGCCGGGGCTGTCGCTTCCTCGGGCCATTTTTCTTAGGAGCGACCGGGAGGAGGAGCCGCCGCGGGGACCCGGCGAAGGAGCTGTGAGGCGGAGAAGGCGGCGGCGGGCGCGGGGCCGGGCTTTCCTCGATCGCGGGGGATCTCGAGGGGCGAAGGGATCGCCGGAGAGGGGGACCGGAGAGCCGCGCCCGCCGCGCGGCGCGCCCCTTCCCGCCCCCTGCACCATGAGCTGGGGCACCGAGCTCTGGGTAAGTGCGGGGCCGGGCCCGCGGGCTGCGGGGACGGTGCCTGGCGCGCCGGGGCAGGGCACGCGGGCCGGGCCGGCCCGGGAGGCGAAGGCGCGCGGTCGGGGTCCCCGCGGCCTGAGGGAGGCGCGGGGCCGGGTGCCCCTCGTGGGCCTCCGCCTGAGCAGGACGCGCGAGCCAGGCGGGGGGAGCGGGTGGGGGTGCCCCCGGCGGCCTGATCTGGGGGCGTGGGTCGGGGTCCCGGCGGCCGGAGGCCCGCGGAGCGTGGGGGGTTGAACCTTAGACACTCGTGTGAGCGGCGGGCGCGCCCCGGACACTGCCTCGAAGGGAAGCGGGGAAGCCTCCGGTTTGGGGGAACGCGGTCCTTTACCAGGGAGTCCCACCCCCCAAGATTCTACGTCTCTGTTCATCTGCGGCTAAGTGCGGGCAGACCGGAGGCTGCTTTAGGTGGGGGAGGCGACCTCTGCAGGGCCGGACGACCCAAGTGCGTGTGTGGTGAGGCAATTGGTCTATATGAGAACAGTGCCATGCAGAAGG